GGGCGCGGGTCCTGCCTCGGCCTCTGGCCTGGCCGCCGGCGCTGGCCGCGACTGCGTACTGCTGCAGGAGGACTTTCTGGCGCACCGGGGGCGACCCCACGTGTATCTGCAGCGCATCCAGCTCAACAACCCCACGGAGCGTGTGGCCGCGCTGCAGACTGTGGGTCCCACTGCCGGCCCGCTCCCCAAAGCCTTCACCAGTACCCTGGAGAAGGTCGGAGACCATCAGTTCCTGCTCTACTCCGGCCGGTCTCCCCCCTTGCCCACGGGCCAGGTGCACCTGGTCGTGGTGGCCGCCAAGAAGCTTGTGAACCGGCTGCAGGTGGCTCCCAAGTCGCAGCTGGACGAGACGGTGCTGTGGGTGGTGCACGTCTCCGACCCCATCACTCCCCAGGTGCTCAAAAGCAGAGCAGCCAAGGAGCTCAAGGCACTCCAGGACTTGGCCCGGAAGGACATGCTGGAGCTCTTGGAGAGGCCGGCGGCTGAGCTGCTTCAGGACCACCAGCACCTCTGGGCTCAGCTCTTCAGCCCAGGTGAGGCCTGGCGGGTGCTTGGTGCACAGTGCCTCTCCTGCATGAGAGGGTACATGGTCCACCTTAGTGGTGTCCCGCCGAGGGCTGCAGAGGTGACCTTGAAGGCTACAACTTGGGCGTTGCGTTTGACTGGGGGCAGAATCTGTGCTCCGCCACCTAACAGCTGTGTGACCTTGGATTCGTGGTCATTGCTCTCTGCGGCTGTGTTTAATGTGTTGCCTACCTCAGGAGGCTTTTATCAGATTTAAATGAAAAGTGGATTGTAAATATTGGGCCTTATTATTTGTTTTTGTAGGTGAGGCCTGATTTGAGTGGGTGGGGCTTTTTAGCATCATTTTCTGAAGGGTGGACCAGCAGGGGCATTGAGTCGCTCTGCTGTCTCTAAGGTCTGCCTGGGCCAGAGGGAAGCTTGTAGGCCTGACTCCTGTGAAGCTGAGGTATGCTCTGCCCTTGGGCTTGGAGACCCCTCTCAGCAGGTGGGAGTGGCCCCACCAAACAAAAACTTCCCTCCCACCTTGCTTGTTTAAGAAAATCCTATTGGCAGTGCGAGGGATTTTGGTTTTCAGGGCTCTAATTGTCTGGACTCACGTTGGTTGCTCAAACAGGGAATTCATTCAAGTATTTATTGACTGCTTGTGGCCAGGGCTGGAAGAAGTGAACAAAACAAAGTTCCTGTTTCCTGGTGCTTGTTTAAGTCAGGTGAGGAAGCAGACAGACAGCAGAAAAGTGACATGTAAGGCAGCTTTCATAGGGCGTTGGAAATGAGACAGGGTCAGTGGAGTGGAGGTGGGAGTGTGTCGGGGGATTGGCTTCCCTCCCAGCTCCGTCTGGGGATGGGGCTCTCTGGCAAGGAGACAGTAGGCTGAGGCCTGGGTGTCCACCAGCAGCCAGTCACGTAGGAGGAAGGAGGCAGGGCAGGCTGGAGACCGCCCTGGAGCAGGAGCTGGTTAGGCAGGTGGCTGGCGGGTGGTGAGTGAGGACTGGGTGGCTGGCCTTGCGGGCCTTGGTGAGGCCTGCGTTGTATTCCAAGAGGAATGGGAAGATGGCAGACATGTGCTCTGATTGCATCTGGAAAGATCCCTGCTCCTGTGTTTGGAGTAAGCATGGAGAGCAGGTGAGAGTTTTTTGCTGGAGCCCAGGCGGGAGGAAGGAAGCTGGGACCAAGGCTGTGACGGTGGAGAGGGACACAGCGGGTGGATCCTGAGGCTTTGGGAGGTCTAGCTGCTAGGACAGCCGTTGGCTGCAGGAGTGAGAATTAGGGGGCTTGGGCGGTTGCGGGGTGACAGCCTAGCGAAGGCTTGGTTTGGGACTGAGAGTCCCTGTCCTGTCAGGTTCAGGTTGCCTTCAGGTGTCCAGCTGGAGACCCCCAGGGGGCGGATAGCTGAGTTTCGAATTCATTCAGAGTTGGGGATATCTGTGTGACACCCCGTGTAAGTGTGTACGTACCAACCCAAACTGTTACAAAATTGGGAGGTGTCGTTTAAAACTACAGGACTGGTCAGAGGGATGGAGAAATGGCCAGGGCTGGCTGGGCACGGGTGACAGGCCTGGCATGAGGGGCCTGACCATCCATTTGGGGCCAAGTCATGGCCCAGTGTGTGGCGTCACAGCTCTGCAGAAGACCCCACTGCCTTGAATGAGACTTCAGGTTTTAGGCCCATGGGCTCCAGTTAGTCATGTTGGACAGGCAGGATGAGTTTTGTCACCCTTGAGAGGACCAGAACTGTTAGCTTCATTAGGGGCCAGATTTCTTTTTGGTGTTTTGAAACAGGGTCTCAATATGTAGCCCAGGCTGGTCTCAAACTCACGGTAATCCTCCTGCTTCAGCCTCCTTAGTACTGGGATCACAGGCCTGCACCACCACGCCTGGCTAGGACCTAAACTTACCCCCTCTGCCTTCATCCTCATTCCCCTCCTCTGCGCCTGCTGGGCCTTCCTCCTAACACCAGCCCTGTGTGCGGTCTTCCAGGGGTGGAAATGAAGAAAATCACCGATGCCCACACGCCATCTGGCCTGACCGTGAACCTGACGCTGTACTACATGCTGTCCTGCTCGCCAGCCCCGCTGCTCAGCCCCTCCCTGAGCCGCCGGGAGCGAGAGCAGATGGAGGCAACGCTCAGCTACGAAGACCACTGCTTCAGCGGCCACGCCACCATGCACGCGGAGAACCTGTGGCCCGGCCGGCTGGTCTCTGCGCAGCAGATCCTGCAGCTCTCTGACCTGTGGAGGCTGACGCTCCAGAAGCGCGGCTGCAAGGGGCTGGTGAAGGCGGGTGCGCCGGGCATCCTGCAGGGCATGGTGCTCAGCTTCGGGGGGCTGCAGTTCACCGAGAACCACCTGCAGTTCCAGGCGGACCCCGATGTGCTACACAACAGCTATGCGCTGCATGGGATCCGCTACAAGAATGACCACATCGACCTGGCCGTGCTGGCAGACGCTGAGGGCAAGCCCTACCTGCACGTGTCTGTGGAGGCCCGCGGGCAGCCCGGCAAGATCTACGCCTGTGAGGCGGGCTGCCTGCAGGAGCCCGTGGAGCTGACCGCGGCGCCCGGCGGCCACACCTTCTCCGTCATGGTGACGCAGCCCATCACACCGCTGCTCTACATCTCCACCGACCTCACGCACCTGCAGGACCTGCGGCACACGCTGCACCTCAAGGCCATTCTGGCCCATGACGAGCACATGGCCCAGCAGGACCCCGGGCTGCCCTTCCTCTTCTGGTTCAGCGTGGCCTCCCTCATCACCCTCTTCCACCTCTTCCTCTTCAAGCTCATCTACAATGAGTACTGCGGGCCCGGAGCCAAGCCCCTCTTCAGGAGCAAGGTAGGCCATCCCTGTCCCCAAGCCTGAGGCCTCCGTCCACTCAGTCCAGGGGCCAGCTGGGCGGGGGGCAGCCTGGGCAGGAACGGGTGCTAAGACTTACCACAGCTGTCAGCCCCAGGGACAGGAGCAAGTGTGGTTTGAGAGGCCATCCAAGAGTGAGTTTGGGTAGGGCAAAGTGGCACGTGATTGTCATGCCAGCACTTGGGAGGCCGAGGCAGGACGATTACTGAGAGTTCAAGGCCAGCCTGGGCTACATAGTGAGTTCAAGGCCAGCCTGAAGTACGTCGCGAGACCCTGCCTCAAAACTGAAAACAAACAAACAAAAAGTGATATCCAAGGAGATCCTAAGAGAGGGGACCGGGGAATTGAGGGATGGATGCATCCACTGCCTTCCTGTCCTGCCACTGAAACATAACAGGCCCAGGAGCCTCTGTGTGAGCGGCCTGGTGCCCTGTCCTCACCCGGCGGGCCAGTGCGTTGCCTCAGAGGCCGGTCACTCAGCGTGGGCTTCCGGCTGCGGCGGTCCGAGCGCCGCATTCATTTCCCTCCTGTTCCCCAAAACATTGTTGCCCTCAAGAAGCTCTGACTTTGACCGCAGCTGCTGCGGGACTGTCCCTTGCTCGGTGCCGGGGGCCACGCTGGTGTCTGTGGTGAGGCTGTCTTTCTCCTGCCAGTGGCCGCCTGTGTGACCCACTGCCAGGACCACTCGGGAGAGGCTGGGGCGCCGCAGGAGTGAAGGAGCTGACCTTCCCTTCCCCGTCTGGCCTGCTCCCCTCCACCCCCGCCCTGTTCCCTCTCCTCCCACCCCTTCTTCCTGCTCCCCTTCTCCCCTCCTCTCCCGCCTCTTCCCTTCCTGTCCAGGTGTCTGCTCTTGTCAAACAAGCGATGTAGAGAGATACCTAATAATAGTATGATAAAGGGCTGGGGGCATAGCCCAGTGGTAGAGCACCTTCGGTTCAAGCGCTAGTACCAGTGAAAGAAAGAAAGAGAAAGGGAGAAAGAGGAAGGGGAAGGAAGGGGAAGCAAAGACAGAGAAGAAAGCAAGCCCAGGTCCCAGGCACAAGTGCCCTGTCCCACCCACCGAGTCTGTGGCTTCTGACCCGCGGGCAGGACTTGGAAGAGAAGCAGGATCACGGGAGAAGGGCGGACAGCCCGGCCTGAGCGCCGTGGCCTTCCCTGGGTCGCGTCCCGTGCCCGCGGGGGTAGCAAGGGGGCCAGGTTAGCACCGTGGGTTCTTCGGGCTGCCCCCCCATTGCGTAGAGTTGTGGTTCCCCACGCGGTCGGGGTGACAGCCGAGCTGGGCACCACCCATGCCCCTCTCAGGTGCTCGAGCCGCCCGAGGAGGTCCGCAGGCCACCAAGTCCATTGGTGCCGGGCGGCGGCGGGTGGGCAGTGGGCCCTGACCCTTGTCTCCTTCGCCGAACAGGAGGATCCCAGTGTCTGAGGGACGCGAGCCCCGCGCTCGGCCACCATTTGCACAGACAGCACTGGGCGCCCCGCTGCCGCGAGCGGGGTCCTCCGGAGCACCCACCCTTTGTGCCTTGTCCGGGACGGTGACGCCGGAGCGCTGGTGGACGTGAGTTGGCATTGGAAGGACGAGTGCCAGGTGGGGAGGGAGCGGCCGCAGACTCCTGAAAGCTTTCTGCTCAGTAAGATGAACTGATAGGGAAATACTTGAAATTGAACTCCCTCCTTCCTCTCTCCCCGTTCTCCTGTCCCAGGAAGCACCTCCTTTTAAAAAGACTTGTTTAGAAAATTGTATTCTTTTCCTTACTTAATTTTTTTTTTTTTTTGGTACCGGGAATCAAACTCACGACCTCGAGCTTGCCAGGCAGGCGCTGTGCCGCTGAGCTACATCTCCGGCCCAGTGTGTTCTTTCTTGAATGGATTTCTAATTTATTTTTGTTGGGGTCTCACTAGGTGTCTAGGTAGTGAGTGCTGGCGGCAACACCGGACCCCCAGGGGCTCGGCATCATCTCAGGGGACAGTGTGGCCCTGCTGTCGCCTGGGTTTGCACATCGACTCCTCTCATGAGCTGTGGGCATCTGTGGTTTTGTACTTTCGCGCTTTGGGGTGTTTAACTTTTTAGTGATTGATGATGGTTGGGTTTTGAAATACCAAAGCTTTTTTGTTCTGTTTTTAAATAAACTTCTTTCAAATTTCCCTGACTGGTCTGTGTGTGGTTGAAACCCCTGGGCACATTGGTGCCGTCCTCCGCCCTCACCAGATCCTGGGTGGTCTGAAGGGGGACCCTCGGCCTCACCACAGCCTGGGGGTGCTGGCTTCTCTCTCAAGGGGCGACTCAAGCCCCAGCCACCTCCCTGCCCACCAGGGTTGCAGGGTGGCCAGGAGTGGACCGGGCAAGGGTCTTCAGCATCCTATGAGTCCCCTGCTATGGCGCCTTCTGCCCTAAAGGGCTTGGTTCTTCGGCCCCCAGTTTTTCTAGCCATAGGGCAGCAGCAGAAAAAAACCCTAAGGTGAGCTGGGCGTGGTGGTTCATGCTTATGGTCCCAGCCTCCCGGAGTGCTGAGACAAGAGGATCATGAATTCAAACCCAACCGGAGCAACATAGCAAGACCAGGTGAGAAAAGGAAAAGCCAGGAATGGTGGCGCCATACCATAACCTGAGCACTCGGGAGGCTGAGGCAGGCGGATCCTTGTGAATGTGAGGCCAGCCTGGGCTACTTAGTTCGAGCCCACCCTGAAGTACATAGCAAGACCCTGTCTCCAAAACCCAAACAATAATAATGAAAACTTTAAAACCCCCAAAATAAGGGGCTGGGCTGCAGCTCAGTCCCTGGTACCCCCCACCCGCAAGTGTGCCTTCTGTATGAGTTCACTGAAACCACACTCAGACTGCTCTCCTGCCAGGGGAGAAGGGCGCCTTGTTCCAGGGACCGAAAAAGGAATGTGAGAGGGCGCGGTGGCCCGCTGTGGGGGGCCTGCTCCTGTGATTCCGTGGCTGGCTCACCGGGAAGCCCAGGCTGTATGGCAGGAGCTCATGTCACCCTCAGCAGACAGAGCAGGGGTAAACAGGCACATCAGGCTGCAGGACAAGTGGCCTTGGTTCTCCAGTGGCCTCAGTCCCAGGCTCCCACTCCTGCCAGTGCAGAGCTCGGACAAGCCGTGTTCCAAGGCTGCCTTGGCTGTTTTAGGGGGTGGGGACCTTGGGTATAGTCGGCGTCCTTTGCATTGTGATGTGTCCTCCACTTGTTGCACTAAGCTGGAAGCTTCTAGACAGCAGAATCCATGCTTCAGTAAACTAATATTTATAGGTTTCATCTCACTTAAGAGCTCACCACGTGTATTCGGTGTTTCATATCAGTACAGCCGCCTGGATGCTGAGAGACAGGAACACGGGCCTCAGAATCATTCATCCAGGGCCACACGGCTGTCGGCACGAACGGTGGCCTGAGGTCCCCTGCGTCTCTTTTTCAGGGCCTGAGATCTATAGCTGCATTCTATCCAGTATTCCCCAACAGCTGGAAGGTTGGTTGGAATGGTATTAGCTCCCTGCAGGCCCGCCCAGATGGCCTGTTGTGCCTGGTCTCATCCAAGGAGCCACCCTTGTCTCCTGCTGTTGCCCTGGCAACCAGCTGTGCACACAGGTATGGATGCACACCACCTGCCTTCAGCCGTGCTCACCTTGGGAAAGCTGCTCCGTGCTCAGTGCAGGGAACTTAATGCAGGGGGAGCCTTAGTGCAGGGGGAACCTTAGTGCAGGGGGAGCCTTAGTGCAGGGGGAGCCTTAGTGCAGGGGGAACCTTGAAGTACCTGAAGTCAGCCTGGGCTACAGAGTAAATTTAAGACCAGCCTAAACTACATAGTGAGACTTTGTCTCAAAACAAGCAACAATAACAACAACAAGCAACCAACAAAACAAAGAAATAGCTGTTTACGGTCTGGATCAGGGAGTCCACCAGCGCCAGCCCTATTGGCATCCTGACTTCAGACTTTGAGCCTCCAGAACTGTAGGAAATAATTTTATGTTGCTGTTTGTTTGTTTGAGACGGGGCTGACTCACTATGTAGTTCAGGCTGACCTTGAGATCACTACATAGCCCAGGCTGACGTTGAGCTCACTACGTAGCCCAGGCTGGCCTCGAACTCATGGCGATCCTCCTATCTCGGCCTCCTGAGTGTTGGGATTATAGGCGTGCGCCACTACAACAAGGCTTCTATGCTGTTTGTAAGGCACTTAGTATATGGCATTCTATTATAGCAGCCAGAAAGGACAAACATTCTTCCAGCAGAGGTGACAACAAGCCGAGAATAGAGACACAGGCTCTTAGATGGAGCGGAAGCATCCGAGTGTGCCTCACTCAAACCCCCAGCTTCACAGGACCCTTGGAAGTGCACAGTCTGCACATTTTTCCTCCTGAGCTGAGGTGCTATAGCTCAGATTTCCAAGCAAGGCCTCACTTACAATTTTTAGGAACAAGATGTCCTTCACGCTTATCTTTAGGGACCTCCCTGATAAGCATCAATGCCCTGAACTTTAAAAGTCTGGTTAGAGCTAAGCATGGTGGCACACACCTGTAATTCCAGCATTCAGGAGGCTGAGACAGGAGGATCCTCATGCGTTCGAGGCCAGGCATAGTGAGATCCTGTCTCAAAAAAAAAAAAAAAATTTCACTCTGTAGTCCAGGCTGTCCTGGAACTCACTGCAATCCTCCTGCCTCAGCCTCCGATTACAGGTGTACACCATCCACCCCCCCTGTTTAAAAAAAATGTCTGGCTAGGGGTCTGGCGATCAGCAGCAACCACACCCTGCAGAAAGTAGGCCCAGGCAGGGCAAGAAGGCTCCACAGCTAGGGGCAATGGCTGAGCAAACAGCCTCGCCCAGAATGAGCTGCTAGGGCTGGACACTGGTTGCTGGAGTCTCTTGCCCTTTCAGTGATAGGATCTCGGGATGAATCATTTATATGGCCACTGAGCAGAATCTCGCAGGCCATGCCTCTGCCCTAGGTGACAAAGGGTGAAGCTACAGTGACAACCAGCTGTGTGTGCCCCGCACTTTCACTCTGTAGTCCAGGCTGTCCTGGAACTCACTGCAATCCTCCTGCCTCAGCCTCCGATGGTGTACACCAGCTTGAGCACAGGGAACACGGTGGCTTGTCTTGTTCTTTCTAAATCTGCGTGGTTAGAATCTACTTGTTGAATCTCTCTCTCTCTCTCTCTCTCTCACACACACACACACACACACACACACACACACACACACACACAGTGTGAGAAACCAAAAGGGTAAATAAGGACCAAAATGTATAATAGCCCACGAGGCTGAGGCAGGAGGGTTGCTGCAAGTTCAAGGCCAGCCTGAGCTACAAAATGAGCTCAAGTCCAGCCCAAACTGCATAGTGAGACCCTGTCTCAAAAAGGCAAAAAGAAAAAAAAAGTGTGTATTGTGAAATAGGAAGAAAATGTTCAAATGGGGAGGGGAACTACAGAGGGGAGACAGGGAAAGGAAGCAAGGAAAAAGAAAAAAAATGAGAGAAAAAGGGAAAAAATGGAAACAAGTCTTTTGTAAATAAGGAGGGGAAGAGGGGTTGAAGGGAAGGGAGGGAAATGGGAAGGAAAAGCAGCAAGAGATGTCATGTACAGTTGCAGAGTCCCTGTGATGAATGTGGTCATTATGTATATCTAAAATGTACCAACAAGGGCTAGGGATACAGCTCAGCGGCATAGCGCCTGCCTGGCAAGTGCAAGGTCCTGAGTTTGATTTCCAGTACCACAAAAAAAAAAGTACCAATAAAAAAATTAGAAAAAAGACAGGTGACTAATTAAAAAAAAAAAAAGAAAACAAAAAAACAAGATCTGGGAAGCTCATGAGAGAGGTTGTGGCTTCTCTGAGGATAAAATTTTGTGAGAAGATCACTAAGCAGCACTTGCTGTAAGTAAAGGAAAATACGGGCTGGGAGTGGGAGGGAGGGACCTGCTTTCTATCTCCAGCTCTGTCATTATCGTGTGACCTCAAATCAGTGGCTGAAATGCTTCCCCTCTACATTCCCACCTGTAAAATGGGTCTAATATCTTCCAGTTCACAGGACAGTTGGGAAGTGCCACTAGATAGAGGACTACATAGTCAGCCAGGTATGGTAGACATGCCTGTAAGTCCCAGCACTCTGGGAAGCTGAGGCAGGAGGATCAAAAGTTCAAGCCCACCTGTACAACCCAAACAGTCATATTTCAGAAAACGGTTGGGGGCCAGGGATATATCTCAGTGGCACAGTGTCTGCCTTGCAAGTGGGAGGTCATTCCCGGTCATTTGATTCCTGGTACCACCAAAAACACACAAAAAAGGGGTTGGGATGTAGCTCAGGGTAAAGGCCCTGAGTTCAATCCTCAGGACCTGAAAAAATAACTGTGCTTTGGTAAATTCAAAATTTCTACCAACACAGGGGCAGTTATTTATATCATACCCTCAGCACTTCTGAACCTGGGGGCCATGGACAGAATTAAGACTCTGTGACCATGGATCAAAAAACCGTCTTTTTTTGCATTAATCTCTAACTGAAATTTAGCATCTCCTTCTATTTATTTATTGATTGATTGATTGAAATTGAGACAGGGTCTTGCTGTGCAGCCCAGGCTGGCTTCAAACTCAAGGTGATCCTCGGCCTCCTGACTGCTGAGATTACAGCCTTCTATTCTTTCTTTCTTTCTTTCTTTCTCTTTCGTTTTTTTTTTTTTTTTTTGTTTTGTTTTTTGAGACAGGGTCCCACTATGTAGTTCAGGTTGGTCTTGAACTCACTTTGTACCAGGTGGGCCTCAAACTCTGCAATCCTCCTGCCTCAGCCTCCTGAGTGCTGGGATTACAGGTGTGCACTATCATGCCCAGTCTTATTTTTCTTATGTTTTCTTTATTTAAAAATTTTTTGGAAAAAAAAATTTTTTGTGGGGGGAGCTGGGGATTTAGCTTAGTGGCACAGTGCCTGTCTGGCAAGCATGAGGTCATGAGTTCGATTCCTGGTACCAGAAATAATAAATAAATAAACTTTTTTTTTTCACCCTCCCCCTTTTATTTTTTATTTTGAGGCATAGTCTTTCTAGGTTGCCCAGGCTGGGCTCAAACTTGTGATCCTTCTGCCTCAGCCTCCAGAGTAGCTGGAATTACAGGTGTACACTGCCACATCTGGCTACTGGGGTTTTTTTTGGGGGGGA